CATTCATATTGTAGCACCCTATAAGAAAAATGTGCTACAAAGGCACTCAAATATGTGCTACAAAGGCCCTCAAATGACTCAAAGCAAAAGAAACTAACAGGTAATTGTTGCAAATGATTTCCTTCAATGATAAACTCCTCCAGTTGGTTACAATTTTCGAGAGAAGCAGGCAACGTTCGAAGCTTATTATACCTGAAAGAGAAACTTCTTGAATACACATAAATATTGTATAACACAGAGAGGCACCAAAATTTTATTTCAAAAGAATTCCAAAAGTTCAGAAAGTTCAAAAATTCCAAAAACTCAAAAGTTTCAAAAGAGCAAAAAGCTATTTGAAAAAGAATCCTTTTGAAATCCTCCGCGATATTTCGGTGTTTAACACCTTCTTCAGGCCTGAAATACATTGATTATAGTAGATGTAAATCTACTATAATCAATGTATTTCAGGCCTGAAGAAGGTGTTAAACACCGAAATATCGCGGAGGATTTCAAAAGGATTCTTTTTCAAATAGCTTTTTGCTCTTTTGAAACTTTCGAGTTTTTGGAATTTTCGAACTTTCTGAACTTTTGGAATTCTTTTGAAATAAAATTTTGGTGCCTCTCTGTGTTATACAATATTTAGGTGCTGATGAGGCTCCGGGACAGCACAATATTAAGAGAACAACATAATACATTTAAATCGCTTCTAACCTCTGTATTGCTCCTAGTTAGTCCTCTAACTCGAACTCAACCTCAGTTCCTATATTTCCAAAGAATTGGGGCATAGTAGTAGAGTGGGGAGAGCCCATCACCGACGCGTGAATGCCGTGTAATGTAAGCCCACATGGCACTACTCAACACCCGTCCTAATGGTAACACAATTTTCAAAAGTAAAACCACGGATCTCTTTCACTGAGGGTCCTCTCTCACTGAAAGATCTCGAGCCGGTTGGTGGCGAGGCTACGTGGCGCGACCCCAGGTGGCGGATAGGGGGTAAATCGCGGACCAAAAGCCACCATGTACTTGCCCTGAGACGCAGGTGGATTCAGGGGATGGACTCCCTGTTTCTGTAGTGCTGTGTTGATTCATACCAGCTGTCTCCACTCAGGCGCATCCATGCATGCTTGCGTGTGTGGTGCGCTCTGTGTGTGTGCGGTTGGTATCCTGCATGTCGGCACAGCCAAAAGCTTGCATTCAAGTGACTGGGAAGTACATGGGAGGCGATTCGGGGCCGCCTCCAAAAATAAGCCCCTTGTTCCGCTCCAGGATAGCGTGGCTAACTACCTGGAGGTCTATCCCTAGCCCACACGACAGAGCCTGGCAAGCTACTCGTGTGCCTTCAATATGCCGAAAACAGCAATATGGATGGGCCTCATTCCCCTGAACCTGAGGGAGCCCCCAATACGGCAGCGTTGGGTAGGACCGCTCGGGAGAGGCTGCTAGAATCTCAGGGCCCGGATAGGCTGCCTAAACGAAGAAGGACTAAGATGGCGATCTGTACTTTCAACGCACGAACGCTTGCATCCGAAGCTCACATCGAAGATCTGATGATGCAGGCCAGGAAGATCAAGTACGACGTCATCGGACTGACCGAGACGAGAAGGCACCGCCCGCTACACGCCGTTTTCGATACTGGAGAAGAACTGTTCCTTGGAACATGCGACAGCAGAGGCGTTGGCGGTGTGGGTGTCCTCGTCAACACGCACTTGGCCATAAACATCGATTCGTACGAAAGCCTTACGACCCGAATCGGACGTTTGAGATTGAGAAGATGTGGTTCAACTCCTGCTTTGACAATCTTCGTCGCCTACGCACCAACATCCAGCTACGACGAAGAAGAACACGAAGCATTTTATATGGAATTGGAGAAGTTCTACAGGGAAGATCATACCTTCTTCAAGGTCATCGTCGGCGACTTCAACGCCAAGATTGGCCCAAGAAGAACGGCTGAAGAACTTCACATCGGTACTCACGGAATGGAATGGAATGAGCAGGGGAGAGACTGTCGGAGTTTATCATGTCGACCAACACCATCCATGGTAACTCACAGTTCCAAAAGCCCCCTCACCTTCGTTGGACTTGGGAGTCACCTGATGGACAGTTCCATAACGAGATAGACCACATCATCTTCAATCGAAGGTTTTGCCTGACCGACGTCGCTGTTGTTCCGAAGTTCTACACGGGATCAGACCATCGTCTCCTCCGCGCAAAGTTCCACTTTTCGATGCGTGTTGAGAGAGCCTCGAAGTTCAGGAAGCGAAGCCCCAGGACAGTCATCAACTGGGACCACTTCGCTTCCCTCGTCAGCTTATGGGAGGATTCCGTCATCGAAAACATCGACGAGGAGTACTATCGGCTCGTTGAACATCTTCACGATTGTGGCAAGAAGGCAGAGAGTTTGAAAGTCACCAAGGGACGTCTGTCTCCGGAAACTCTCGAACTGATACGCCAGCGTGGAGCCGCACGAGCTGCAGGCAATCACCGACTCACGTCCGAGCTTGCGAAGCTATGCAGAGAGGCGATAAAGGAAGATCTCAAGGAGCGAAGAGCAGCAGTATTAGCTGAAGCAGCAGAGGCTGGGAGGAGCATCCGCAATGCCCGCCGAAGCTTTGCCAGCTACAAGACCAAGATGACCTGCCTCCGACGTCCGGATGGAACAGTTACTGCATCCCGAAGGGCAATGGAGAAAGTCATCCACGACTTCTACTCGGATCTCTTCGATAGCCATGTCCATCTGCCCACTTATCAACTGCAACAGGATGGATACGTCGTCCCCTCAGTTCTCTCTTCCGAAGTCCGACACGCCATCAAGTCGGTGAAGAATCGTACAGCACCCGGTCTCGACAGGGTCAAACCGGAACATCTGAAGAATGCGCCGCCAGTTATCATCAAAACTCTGGCTCGACTCTTCACGCGCTACCTGTCGGAATGCAAGGTACCCACTCCGTGGAAAACCAGCAGGACCGTGTTGCTGTACAAGAAGGGAGACCTGGACGACATTGGCAACTATCGCCCAATCTGCCTGCTGTCTGTAATCTACAAGCTATTCACTCGAGTCATCCTTAACAGGATCGGCAGAATACTAGATGAAGGACAGCCATGCGAGCAAGCAGGGTTTCGAAGAGGGTTCAGCACGATCGACCATATCCACACGGTTACAAGACTCATTGAAGTTTCACGAGAGTACAAGATGCCGCTTTGTCTCACGTTCATCGACTTGAAGAAGGCCTTCGACTCTGTGGAGACAGAAGCGGTCATCGAAGCCTTGGGCAACCAGGGCGTCCCTACTCAGTACATCAAGATTCTTCGTGAGCTCTACAGCAACTTTACGACCAGAATCTCACCATTCTACAAGGAGGTCATCATCGACGTCAAGAGAGGGGTTCGACAGGGCGACACCATCTCGCCCAAACTCTTCAGCGCCGCTCTCGAGAACGTCATGCGTCAACTGGAATGGGAAGACATGGGAGTGAAGGTCGACGGCCGGCAACTACACCACCTTCGTTTTGCTGACGACATCGTTCTTATAACGCCGAACATCGAGCAAGCGGAGCGAATGCTGGCTGATTTCGACTGCGCCTGTGGTAAGGTTGGTCTACAGCTGAACCTAACGAAGACGATGTTTATGAGAAACGGATTGGTTCCTGATGCCCCATTCACGCTCAACGGAACGAACATCACCGAATGCTCCAGCTACGTGTACCTAGGTCGGGAAATCAATATGATGAACGATCTAGCTCCAGAGCTGAGCAGGAGGAAACGAGCGGCTTGGGGAGCGTACAAGAACATCGAGGGAGTAGTGAAGAAGACGAAGAACATCCGGCTCCGTGCCCACCTCTTCGATTCCGCTGTCCTTCCTGCCCTAACCTACGCCTCAGAGACTTGGACTCTGCGCAGGCAGGACGAGCATGCGGTCAGCGTTATCCAACGCGCTGTCGAGAGGACGATGCTAGGAGTAACCCTATACACGCAAGTGCAGAGGGGAATCCGGAGTGCCGAACTACGCCAACGATCGAAGATCAGGGACGCTGCCGTTTTTCGCCAAGGAATCGAAGATAAGGTGGGCCGGACACGTCATGCGATTTTGCGATGACCGTTGGACCAGAGCGGTTACCGACTGGATCCCTCGGGACGTCAAACGAACACCTGGACGACCGCCGGCCCGATGGTCAGACTTCTTCACGAAAGCTCTGAACGAAAGGAATGAAGGACATCGTGTCCCTCGAGCGAGGAGGGTCCACTGGACAACTCTTGCACGCGACAGGGACGAATGGAGACGTTGCTGGCGCCCGCTCGAGCAATTCGATGATCAACGGGACGACAGGTGATACAGGTGAGTCAATAAAAGAAGAAAACACACCTGATACCTAGTCGAACGAGATTCGTCAGCTTTCCCATTGTTTCAGGCAATTCTGCTAGATCATTATGTTGCAGATCAAGTTGAGTCAAACTGATGCAAAGTCCTAGTTCTGAAGAAAACATATAGTTAGTGAAAGTTATAGAAGCTCCTCTCAAGTTTTTTGATGACACGATGTATGGTCTCCACTCGACGCGCATCTGGTTTCCGGAAGCAGGGGGTACTTTAACGAGTTAAAGACGCCGCGTCCCCCTACAATAGTTTCCATGCACTATATATTACAGAGGAAAGATGTATTCGCAGAAGGCAAATTTAAGGGCAGATAGAGCATGATCTGCATATCTAGTAAATCACAAACCCATCGCTACAAATCACGCATCTTCTACTTCAGTACTGGTGATTTCCATAGAATCGTAAAGGCTGGTGTCAGAGAAGTTCCGCGAATCTCATCGCAGGACTCCGTGATTTCACAGCGATTGCGCGATTTTTCAAAACGATTTGCGCCGAACCTGCGATTGGATCAACAGGCAGTTGATGGGCCTAGATGATACGCGAGGTGATGTTTTTATCCGGCTGGCGAGCTCTTCGCTTGACAGGTGAAGATGAGAAGACCCGACTGTTCGTGAATTCTTTACTCGTTTCACATTCAATGTCTATCAGTTCGTTGAAATGCTCATGATTCGTTCCTAATTGGCCTGATGTCAGACTTTGCGATTGGAGCGATTGTGCACCAATTGCAGGAGCGACGGGATTCGCTTACGAGCGACCACCGATAATTCGGCGCCATCAGTTCGTAAATGTCCCGTCGCTCGCACTGCGAGCGACGGGAGATTTACACCGCCGACCACCGATACACACGGCGCCGCTCGGGTAAATCTCCCGTCGCTCGCACTTTGGAGCGACGGATCGCTCAAGCGATCCATCGCTCGGGCCGTGATGTGCCTCCTTGGCCGTTGTGGCAGGGAGCTGCGAGCGACGGGAGATTTCCGAGCTGATGGCGCCAATTATCGGGGTGGTCGGCCGTGTAAATCTCCCGTCGCTCCTGCGATTGGTGCACAATCGCTCCATTCGCAAAGTCTGACAGCGGCCATTCTATGCATAATTCTAGATTCTATAATATCAAACGTGAATCCATGGAGGGCATCGTCAATTCAGCCCCCTCAATTATCACAGAATGGCGGCGGCATTGGAGACACCAATGCCAGTAAGTGATTGGGCCAAACTTGTGAATACCGTGCAGTCCCCCGCGCAAATCGCGTAAATACGGCGCAAATCGCGAAAATCAGCGAAACCTGCGACGGATCGCGGACACTGACACCAGCCTAATAGCAAAATAGAACACATGAATGTTCAAAGAGAATTAATGCAACGTCAAAATCTTACCATCCGGGATTTTTGATAAGTGATTGTAGCTTAGAAGGCAGACAACCAAGGAGTGGATTTTACCAATCGATGCCGGTAAGCTGTGGATTTTGTTTTCACGCAAATCAATCATCTTAAGCCTGGAAAGAGTGATTTAGGCCACGACGGCCACCGTGTATATGGAAAGCTCAGCAGACATACTTGGACAGATTTCCAATTTCCTCTCCAATCGACGTGATCCTATTGTACCGCAACCAAAGTGTTTCGAGAGAGGTGATCCGATAAATTACGGAAGGTATCTTGAATAATGCGATTAGAAAATTGAGCCAAAAAATTATTTTGCGTTGGTTACCTCTGTAAGCTTGTTATGTCGTAGATCTAAGGTTTCTAACTGCGTAAGAGAAGCAAGTGAGTCGGGTAATGAGCAAAGAGCATTTTCACTCAAGCCTAATTTTCGCAGAGAAACCTGAAAATTGAAAAATGAGAATTGGATAAGTCCACTCCAAACTGCGTATATAATAGAGAACGTTTGCCACACACCAAATTTCCCAATTCCGACGGTAATTGGGTAAGCTTGTTTTTATACAAAAACAGTTCAGTCAACTGTGTAAGATCCCTGATCGAGGACGGTATAGACGTGATCTGAAATTCATAGAAGCATAGAAGTTTTATACAATAGACAATCTTCTCAAAGATAAGACATCATAACCCTCATCAAGCTTCCCAATCACTTACATCATTGGAACTGAGATCAAGCCGAAGATCGTTGTTGTCGCGACATCTCTGGAATTCACGATGGAGATCCTGAAAAGTCATAATCTTGTCGCGTCAAGTCCTGAGTTTTCCACACAAATATTCCCAAAGCTTGCTTATTCTGACTTGAATTCACTGATGAAACGCCATTGTAAGCGCGTCAGCCCATCTTTTATTTACAAGATTGCAGCAGTAGCTTCTGCCTCACCAATAGATTCTTCAACGGTAATGAAAACACTTCTTCGTACGAATGTCAGACTTCGCGAATTTGCAGCGATTTTGCACCAATTGCTGCGAGCGACGGGAGATTTACCCGACTGATGGCGCCGAATTATCGGTGGTCGGCGGGTAAATCTCCCGTCGCTCCTGCAATTGGTGCAAAATCGCTCCAACCGCAAAGTCTGACATCGGCCATCTATATGTGAATGATAAAAGGCTACATAGCTCTGTACCAGATGGTTTTCGTACGGCTGGATATAGCCTAGCTCCTCATATTGAAAGTTATAAAAGCTAAAAAAAAACAAGTAAAACAGTAAGGACATAGACATGGTTCCATGGTTGGTATATAGATTAATTTTACATAAATACATATACAAATATAAAAGATAAACAAATAAAAACACATATATACATATTATGTACAGGGGGGGGGCAAAAATCACTTCGCCTATGGCGCACTCATCAAAAACTTTTCGTCGCACACAGTGCCTGCCATTCAAATACTCCGTCGACCAGTAAATCGCTCCAGTCTGGAACTGCTACATGACTTCTTGAATCGTTTAATTAGTGAATATTTTCCCTACGGAGAGAAAGAGAGTAGCTTTTTGAACTCATGGTAGATCTGCTTTTTGAACATGTTTCAGATAGGTCGTATGGCCTTACGATCCGCCGATTACCTAGCTGACCGTAAATGTATCATGTCCCGTGGGAAAAATTCTGATATCGTCAGGTAGAAATTCTTTCGTGAAGTGTTTTAATAGATTGGAATGTGCTCTTCCATCTCCAGTTGAAGATTATTTAGGTTTAGAACTCAGCAAAAAGTTAATTAACTCCGCTTTGAATTGGCTGGGAGTGCCCTTTTCCCCCCCCCCGTCTATATATAGTGTGTTATGAGATGTTTCATGAACAGGTTTGTATCACTATGTGGTACAGGCAGCTGAGAGCCTTCCAGTTACCTGAATTTCCAAAAAAAAACACCAAAGAATACCCCTTGCCAAAGCGTGTGTTATGAAGCCACAGAGTGAAGTTTTCAGATTTCACAGGAAGCAATTGAGACTCGGTATGCACCAAAGTTTCAAATTGCGCCTCCAACGCATATTCGGTGTTCAAAACTCGATACGGTTTTAAGACACGCTTGCTAAAGGTCCGTAGCAAAGTTTGCAATCGTCCTTTGCAGCGCGTTTACCCTCGCCTTCAATGACCCAGAAAATTGGTGCAATTGCAGAATTGAAGCGTGGCTTAACGTGCATCCGATTCAAGGGTGCCAACCACGTTGCTGGTCAAAAGTGTTTCTGTGAATCCGATGCCACGTCAAATTTTCTGCAATGCACAATTTCTGGTCACTGAAAAGCGAAGGGTAATGTTCTAGTGGTGGAACAGGTTCTCGAATTCGGTGTTACTACTGTAGGAAAGCTACTGTAAAGCTGCGAAATGATGAGACCGACGTCATAGTCGGCGACGGACCAAGCGATGGAGCGATCGCGATCGCTTGTCCGTCGCTTGCCAATCGCTCTTGGTCGAGCGATTGGCAAGCGATTGCGCAATCGCTTGCAAAGTGCACAAGCGACGGGCAATGGCTCTGCTCGATCGATACCGCAGCCGACTGCATTGACTGGGGGCGGGGCCAATCGCCCGTCGCTTGTGCACATTGCGCAATCGCTTGCCAATCGCTCGACCGAGAGCGATTGGCAAGCGACGGACAAGCGATGGAGCGATCGCGATCGCTCCATCGCTTGGTCCGTCGCCGACTATGACGTCGGTCTAAGATGGAAAAACACACGCTCTGGTAGTTTCATGAGAATGCTGGGTTATGAACGAAACTTTCGCCCCAGACGGGAATCGAACCACCGGCTTAAGACTAACTTCCATAGGAAATAAAAAAAGCGGAGATGCTGTAATAGTGTGCATGCGTGATGCTAGCTCCCCATACATACTCATAGAACGCTGCATTGCTCACTCACGGTTACAGATGCCCCCATATGATCCAAGAATTTCTGTTCAACCGACATTGCCAGCTATGCAATTCAAACCCTTTAAAAAAGGAGCTCTTCACCAATTCAATAGTATACTGCATCTCTGCTTTCCTTATTTTTACTTCGAGGGACGTTTTTTGTTACCGACATAAAATGTTATAGCCTTTTTTCATCTACACCCTTTGGTTGACAGGTGCCTTGTAACCAAAGAAAGCAAGATCGCAAAGACGCAGAGTCGTCAGGTCGCGAACTATGACCGTGACATTAGAGCTTCTCTTTTCTGATAGTTGAAATCAGCACCGCTGAAAAACAATTCAAGAAATCCAAAAAAAAATCAGAGTATTGATAAATCCTAGAGGGAAGATAACGAGCTGAAACCTGGCAGTTTTCAAAGACATGATATATCAAAACTACACTCCGCTTTCCAGACGGATCATGTCGTTTGTGCAGATTTAGCAGCACACTGGTGATCGAACAATATCAAGAGCATCAAAAACACATGCAATATCAAGTTTTGCCGAGGTCACCACCAACCTTAGCTAATGACAATGAGTCTGTAATTACGACATGTCCTACCGCGGAAAAAAATAGTACGTATCGTACTGTGGCAATAAATATAAGCATTTTGAAGAAAAATCGTACTAATATTTTGAGCGAGGTACCTTTTTGTCACGAAAACTTACGAAAAAGTGTTAACGAAAGTGATGCTGTGCTTTCCCAACAAATTACTTGGGTTATTTATAGGGATACTCGTAGGTGTAGACCCTACCTTCTTTGTTTTTCGTTGAAAAAGTTGGTAGAAGATTGGAGGTGCCTTCTCGGTTCAAGTCGAATGAAACGTGTCCCCTGGAACGGCGCCGAAATTACAGAGAACGAACTCAATGACACCGGGGCTTTTTGAACGTGCTCCCTCCTTCGTTGGTCGGAATTCGAAATCTTTCGTCTCCATTCGTGCCTTGAGGCAAAGAGCCAGCGCGTCTGGAAGTCGCGCTGTGCCCACACACTTTCCACTAACAAAAGCCAGGGTCAGTCGTGATTCAGGTGACGATCAAGGCATTCAATACAATCGATTGATCACTGTCGTGGCGAGCTCTGGCAGCAACCCTGCAGCGAAAACGAATCAATACGGATCGATAATGACGAGTTGAAGAACGGAATTGATGGAAATGCGCAAAACAGCCAAAGACAGAGACGATAATTGCGCAGCGAGTGATAGTTGGAAGTGGCAGGAGCGCATGAAGATGTGGAGAGACGTGAACGGGGGCCCTCAGAACCCTACCCGAATCCACACACACTCTCTTTTTCTCTGTCTCGCATGCACTTGATTTCGCGCTAAAGAAGAGAGATAGCAGCGCGAGTGATTGCAATAGACAAAGTGACGCAGGGATACCTCACCTCACCCAAGGCCAAACCCGGGAACAGCTTAGTCTTCCACTACGACTACTTTAGTCGATACGGCCATCAATCAACAGCCGTTCAACAATGCCACTAAACTTGAAATAATAGATTCGGCTTCGCTTTGACCACAAAGACTTCCTTATGTTCTTTACTAGAGTTTCCCTAAGAAGTTCTAAAGGGGATAACTTCTACATGCAGGCGCATGTGTCTCCAGGAGGGAGTGATCTTGTCACTAGGACTCTGCCTAACGGAGAAGGACGACCAGTATCGACTTTCTTTCAATTTTGGCATAGTTTGATCAGATATTTGCTTGATTGGTGTCGTCATCAGTACTTTGGAGGCGTTTGAGAGGGCAAGTCAAATTTGTTTTTGATTTATTCAGGTCTGACGAAGGCGAAGAAGCCGAAACGTTAGCGTAATAGTTGCATAGTCTTGGAGAGGGACGGGTTTCGGTGAGGATGAGAATTGCTTACACACCTCGGATTTTCGCATTTTCTCCTCTTCTCTGAAGCTTAGACCAAGATGAGCGTATTTCCGTGAATCTGAACGCGCCATGATGCGGGCAACCCCCCCCCCCCCGCTCAGAGCCACGTTGGGCCGGCCTAGCGATTACAAAGGCGCCTTTCCGTCAAACCCAGGGTGAAGCGTAGTTGGAAAAAACTATTGGGACTAAGCCTTTTTAAGGAGATGAAGAAAGTGGAGATTGTGATAATGGGAACTAGTGAAAGCTCCCCCCGGCCCTCCCCTACATACACGCTGATACCTTCCACGCCTCACGCATTGAATAGAAGTCCTGAGACCTGCGCCTGCATGCATACTCTTGGCGCTAGCAGTAGCTAACAGGCAACGCGCTAGGAAATGAATGACATTGGAAACAGTTGGAACTTCGACGACTGTAAAGTCCGCCCGTAGATTGAATATATCTTCTATAGATGTTTAGCCGCATTAGGTTCAAAAAGGCGCTAACTTTGCTAAATTAACGGGGCCGTAGAAATAGCTGGTGCTGGTGTTTGACCCTTTCTTTCGAGTTGCTGCTCTCCAGCAATCATGGGGCTATTTTACTCAGCTAATTTGGCTATTAAATTGTGAATGCAGCGAAAGGCATCTTTCCGATTCTTTCCAATGATACATTCTGTCATATGACTTTTATTTGATAGCTCCACCTGGGGAAAACTTTCAAGTATCTCATGGAACCTTGGATGAAGATCTGGTATGAGTCGAGATGGTCAAGAATGTGCCGCAGACTAGAACTACTACAATATTCCTTCCAAGCAAATTATTAAGCAAGTCAAAGTTGCCCAAATATGCCGCTAAAAAGTTCAGAAGTTGAATGGCTTTTCGTGAAGAAAATATAAACCGCAGTCCACACTCTGCTGAATAAGAGTAGATCCTCTTCCTGTTTTGGGGTTCCCATTTTCCGCGCAGGAATTTGCCATCATTTTTTCGAAGAATCCGGACTTGCGTTTTGACAAG